TAACACTGTAGGCAAACCACGACGCCCCTCCCTCAGGAAACAGCACTTCTGTACTGCATCGGGTGTGGGACACGCAGTGCCGCTGTATAAAAAAAAAAAGGCAACGGAAGGCTCCACTTCCAACCAACAAAAAACCAGCACCATGAACTGTTCAGTCCAAAGCAAATCACAAGGGGAGCGGTTAAAGGCAGCATCTGAAAGTGGTTCACTTTCTTTTCTGTACCTCCCCCTTGATGCAAGGAGTTGAAAATTCCCAGCCCAAGAAGCAGCACCAGCAAACACTGGCATAGAAAGGGCCAACAGTTCTGCCTTGTTTCAGGCAACGATGGGTTCTCCTGGCAGTTTTTCCTCCCCCTGCCATGATTCAAGTTAATTGCATCCCTGCAGAGTGACATACCACAGTTAGAGCTGATCATGTTCCAGATTAACTCTACTCCAGGAAGATTTTCCTGGTTCGAAGTTCATTGCCGGCAATGAATGCACCAAGACCACCAGCGCCAAATGTTTTTAAATACTGCTGAAAAAAACAAAACAGAACAAAACACCACCAACCCTCCCAGAAAAAAAAAAAAAACAAACCTGCATAAAGCTGCAGAGGCCCATCCTCTACAGCACAGCACAGCTCAATAACTGAGCGAGCCCTCAAAATCTAGCGTCATCTACATCATTTCACCAATAAGTAATTAAGACTGCTGAGGGAGCAGAAAGGGTGGAGAAAGCAACTCAACTGCCAGTGCCCAAGATATAAACTCATGCCAGCGTTACCATGCATTAGGAAGGAAATGTGCAACTGGATTCTCCCCAACACATCAAATCCCAAACCCAAATTTGCTTTTTATCTCCAAGATGGCTCTAAGAAAGTCTAGAGGTGCATGTGCTGCGATGAGCTCTCCTCCAGAAACAAAAATAATCTACGCAGAAAATAAACAAAGGACAGAAGTGCTGAGGAAATAAGGGGACATGATTTCCTAATGAAAATTGTAAAACCATAACTTAAGAAAGCCCAGAGTTCAAGTTCAAGCTATTGCTGCGAGAGTGCCTGGAAAATCTAATGAAGACTCTTCTGTTCAGCGAAGACACACCTGGAGAAAGAGAGAAAGAAAAGGAGCCGGAATTACTGACAGTGAAGAGCAAGAGGCTGGAACTGCACAGCACTCTGAAGTCCGACTCTTACATACATCACCCCAGACAAACACAATACGTGGGACCTGCCAACACTCCTTTTCCCAGCACAAAAGACGTCTATCAGTTTTACAGGGGTGCGATGGCAACATTAGGACCAGTGTATTACACCCCTGAGAAAGCAAGCTCATTCTAGAAATCGATGCCCGTAGCAGGTACCGAAGGAAAATCTTCATTAAGTTGCAGCTATTAACAGAGTTGAGCCAAGAGGTGCACCAGCAGGCCACTCGGCGGGACAGGGGACACACCTCATGTGCCACTGTCACTTTCCATACAATTTCATTTGGGCACAGCCTCCAAGCCCTCAGGTACCAACACAGCACCCAGCCTTGTCACAGCAGGGAGCACACTGGATACTGTCAGCGAGCCAAAGTTTCAGGATATCTTCAGGAGGATAAAAATTTACAGAGAGGGTTCTTCAGCTATTCATTTGCTAGATGTGGAACCAGCTGTGGAACAACCCAACACTCAATGACCCCAGCTGTCTTCAGCACCGCAAAGGCCCAGTCCCATGGCCAGGGATGGGGAAGTACTTCTGTGCTAGACTCGGGCTAACCCTCGTCTTCACTCTGCAGTTAATTTTGGAAGTGTCTGTACATAAAGGGGGAGGAAGGAAGAGTCGGACATCTGTGGTCCCCTGGCATTCAGCAATAAGCCCCCACTCTTACTAGACATGCGTGTGCTCAAATGCTGCTTAACCACCAAACCACCACACAAAACCAGCCGGAGAGGCGGGAAAACATATTACATCCACAATTACCTACCACACAAACGGAGAACTCATTTAAAAATTGTCTACCTTTTTTGCTGGTGAAGTTTGAATGACAGGTTTTAGTGCCCCCCCCCCCCAGACTGGATTGTATACATCCAATTTTCACATCCACGCAACGTCTGCAGCAGCTGTTGCAACTCACAGCTCAAGACCACTGGTCTGACAGAGAAACTTGCAATTTCAAGAGATGGGGGAGAATGGCTATTTCAAAAATGTTCTTTGGCAAAGGTGAGAGAACGATCCCAAAACACTAAACCTTCTAAATCCAGTACCCCCTTGCTCAGTTTTGCCTCCATTTTCAGGAATGTGTGCTATATTTGTGCTTTGTTTCTTTACTTGAATTTAATTTCAAACTCCCGCATGTATTTTTATACTTTATTACATGTCAATTTGCTAAGGAAATACCCACCCACATCTGTTGCACAGATGCGAGGTATTACGCATCCCTCAGCACAGCTGGAACATGTGTGTGAGCACCAGCACTTTTCATGGTATGCCAGTTTTCTACCAACTGATGTGAAACATTCAGATGCCAGGAGGAAAGACTGGGCAAGAATTTTTTTCCATAAGGAAAGAGGTTGAGGTTATTAAAAGTTACCAGGAATCAGTCATGATTTACTGATGGAAACTTCAGCTCTGTCATCTCCAGGTCAGGTGAGCTGCTGCCACTTCTATCGCTGTAGGTGTCCCTGCAGAATTCAGAAAGATTTTGTTTTATGGACCACAAGTGCTTTATAGACCTAAGTTGCATCAGGAATTAGCGGTTTGGTAGTAAGTACTGCTAGCTGAGGTTGAAAAGCAGAGCACACAGAATTCCTAGTACAGTCGTCCCTTTGGAAATAAGGCTGAGCCATCATCAATTTTAAGGTTTGTGAATTGAAATGATTATACAATATAATAGGCATTTTATAAGGCCAACTTATTCTAACTGAAATTCATTAAACAGGAAATAGGAGACTGGTTAATTACCCACAAGCCATTCAATTTCAGCTTCCCAGTAACAGCTGACTGCCTTTAATCCATTAAACAGTTTTTTCAGATTCACAAAATAATTCAGATCGGCAGCGAGCTCAGGACAGCTACACCGCAGGATGGCTATCAGATCAGACACGGCTGCTCAGGGCTTTATCCAGCCACATTCTGAAACTCTCCAAGGACGGAGACTGCGCAGCCTTTCTGGGCAATTTGCACCAATGTGTGACTGATCTAATGGTGAAAAAGATGTTCCTTATATCCCATCAGAACCCCTCTTATTTTAATTTATATCCATTGCATCTGATCCTCCCACCACACACTTCTGTAAAGACCCTGTTTTCATCTTCTTACTAATGTTTTTGTAGGTGCTGGCAGGCTGCTCTTAGGTCCCCCATAAAGCCTTCCCTTCTCCAGGCTGAACAAGCCCAGCTCCTTTGGCCTCTCCTCACTAGGCAAGTACTCGAACCTCCTGACCTTCTTAGTGGGCCTCCACTAAACTCTCCCCAATATATCGATGTTTTACTTGTACTGGGCGACCCCAAACTGCACAGAATATTCTAGATGTGGTCTAACAAATGCCAAGTGAAGAGACATAATCACTTCTCTCCATCTACTGTCTATGCTCTTACTCATACAGCCCAGGATGCTGTTTGTCCTTCCTTTGCTGCCAGCGCACACTGCCGGTTGATGTTCAGTTTGCTGTTCCCCAAGACCTCGTCAGCAGAGCTGCTCCCCAGCTGCTCGGTCCCCAGCCTGTGTTACTGCAAGGGGTTGCTAGAAGGACTCTGCATTCGTCCTTGTTAAACCTTATCAGGTTCCTGTTGGCCCACTGCTCCAGCCCAGGTCCCACCAAACAGTGGTTCCATCCTCAAGTGTATAGTCTGTTCCCACTAGTTTGGTGTCACAGGCAAACCTCATCAGAGGGCAATGATGAGACTTACCTGAAAATGTGATGAGAGCTACAAGGGCACAGGAATGGGAGTACAGGCTGGCCGATAACTGCCACCAATATTTTCAGATTATATGTTAAGCATGAAACAATTTGCGACCACAATCACAAAAGACTCCAACAGCAGATAATACTAACTTAGGATGCTGCAGTACCGAGGAAACTTCAGCTTCTCTGCTGTGAGAAGCCACTTCAAACTCAAATGTACAAAAGCAGGAAATTAAAATATCCCTCAACCCCTGGAAGCACTGAAAAGAGGCATCCTCACACAGAAACTCTCTTCAGAGCAGATCAGTTGGAGCACAACTGATAGCTGTTCTCCAGACAGCAACAGGAATTCCTGTGGTGCAGCTGCATTGCAGCTCGGCCCAGAAAGGCCAATACTTTCCTTTTGGATGGATTTCATTTAATACATTCAGTGCTATTTCTCTTTCGCATTTAGTTTGGAGTTTTTATTTAGTGCAAGTTAGCACTCCAGCGACACAGGCAAATCTTCTGTGTTCTCTTCTATAAGGAGGAAAATGGATCACCACCAAAGTGATGTTTATTTGTTGTATATTGCCACGTCTGCTGAACAGAACTGCAGGGCGTGAGGGAGCAGTAGAATGAAGTAAATGTGCCATTAAATCTACCCAAAACACTAGTTGCTTTGCAAACTGAGCCAAAAGAAAGCTTAAGTCAGCAGAAAAAGAAAAAAAAAAAGAAAAAAAAAAAGAAGCTGCAACCACCAGGGCCCATTCTTTAATCTAGCAACAGGAACAAATTTCTTAAGGAGGAGCCTGTACCTAGGACTTGTACAAGGAACATGGGGAAAACCCCATGAGGTCTCCAATCCCCTAAAAGAGCAGGCCCAGCTGCAGTTTCCCCAAACACCTCTGACTGACAACACGAGACTGCAGAGTTACTCTCCTTGAGTCGGGATATCCCTGTGGGACAGCTCTATGGCACTACAATCACTCTTAAGATGTAAGACAAGAGGTTTCAAAGAAAGAGTGGAAAGAAGAGGTGCTGCAAATACCCCCTAGTTAGCACACAGTAACTCTGTGCCAAGAGGATTCTCCAGTTTATCCTGTAGGAAGCAGCACTGCCCTGTGAAAGGTCTGACTGGTGCCTTCCTTCAACCTACCTGGGTGAGAGCCTGCAGCCCTTTTGTAGATAATGCGTGAGTCTTCCTGCAGACGCCAAGAGAAGGCCGAAGTATGGGGGAGATGGCTTAATTGGTCTAGAGAGGAATTCAGGGTGATACTGAACACCAACAAAGAAAGGATGCTCTAAGAGAAAGAAACAGAAAATATTAATGTCAAATCTTTTAAGCCTGCAGCTGACCTGCAGTTGAAAGCACTGACCACACCGAAGCCTGATGATGGGGAAGAAGTGTCATTTCTGTCCTGCATTTTGTCCCTCAATGGACAGGCACATGGGATTCTTATTTTAGTGTAATTTTATGGATGGAATAATTCTGAAGGACCTGGACTGGTCCCACACAAAAACTTCCTCAATTACTCTCCGAACACTTTCCCTTGTAAATACCTACATCCACAAAGTAATTGCTTAAGTACTCACCTTCCAACTCAACCACTTCCATTCGCTCTCCCTCCTCATCCTGGCCTACAAACTTCAAACCTTGCTCTTCAAAACACTTTTTCAATTCTGGATTAACCTAAGAAGGCCAGAAGCAAGAAAACCAGTGATCTCTTGTGTTTGGATTACACAGAAAAGCTCAACACCTACAACAGCATTTTTACCTCAAATCTGTGTCTGTGTCTCTCTTCCAAGAAATCATGATCTCCGTACAGCTTCCCTACACCAACAGGAAGACATTTCTCAGAGTAAATGCCAAACATTTTGCACGATGCCAAGCCTCAACAAGTTCATATGAATAGCATCCATCAGAACCTGCCACTTAGAGGGGACCAAATTCATTGATCTCCATTTCACATTCCCAGGTGTCCCTTCCCCACACCCACCATACATGTATGTAATTCCCAGGAAACACTTCCAAAAGAGGTAACAAATGCCTTACTCATGATTGAATTCTTGGTTTGAAAGAGTTTTCTTCTCTTGCCAAGCCTCATGGTCCCACCCATTTGCCCAGGATTATGTTCCGGCATGTCTATGACCTGTGAAAAGCATTCCGAGAGGGAGGTGAGAATGAGGGAAGAGTAACAGTTCCAGGCAGACTCTGAAATGTTACAGGGGGAAAAAAACCAACATCCATGCAGAAAACAAGCAAACTACCCCAAGGAACATGATTTCACAAGGTAGAAAAAAAACCCTAGATTAGTTAGCTGAGTTATTCTAGTAAAGGCTGTACAGAACACATGGAAGGTTTGCAGCTATTCAGGAAGCTTTTACATAGGAAGTGGTCTTAGTCAAAGCCTGCACAGATCCCACGGACTAATGCTGTGCTATTTACTGAACTAAATGTAAAACAAACAAGCAAATTTACAAACAAAATCCCCAAATCAGAATCACGTATATTTTGATAAATAACTTCATAAGCTGTTTTTTTGAAAACTTTTTCTGTTTGAGTAGCATTTTAAATTACAGCAGAAGACAATCACTATTGCCCCGGACAAGGCACTTGGAGCCTGTAGTCTGAGAAATGCAGGTTCAGAAATCTGTCCACAAATTCATCTCTGTCTATGTTAGTTTCTGAGACCATAATTAAACAGTCATAGAGCAGAATCTAGATATCACCAAATCTTTAACTTCTACTCTGTGAATCAGTTAGCTTTCAAACTGCCCTTTAAGAACCTTTTACCTCTTAGAAAACACCTTGCTTTATGAAAAAGTGTCATTAAAAATAAAAATTAAAAAAAAAAATAATATTGGTGTTTCACCTATAATAAACACTGCAATCTTCTAGGAAGCAAAAACTGCCATACATCAACCAGGCAAAGACATTTTCTTTTCAGATCAGTAAATGATAGAAGACAGACTTAAAAGCCACAAGGTGTAATAATCCAAGCTCTTAACTGTACCAACATGCATGTGCAGAGAAGTCTGGCACAGTAAGGACATTACAAGCAAGTCGCCATAAACTCACCACTGGATGAGCAGTTTTGGGGTCAAATTCTGTCGAGTTAGCATCTGCAATGTTACATTCATCAATTAGAAACACGAAGTCCCTCACACCACAACATGCATTTACAGAACCTCCCCCAGGTACAGCTGCGTCTTGTCCCCACGCTTCTGGCAAGCGGCAACCTTAACTGTGCCAAGCCACGTGCCTGCACAGAGCTGCTAGCTCAGCTCCCGACAGCAGAAAGAGGACTCTGTCAGCTTTGTTTGATATGAATTTCTGCGGCTGCCTGGAGGTTGCAATCTTAAAGCAACCAGTCTAGTGTAATCGCTGATGAAAGCGAGGGTCATTCAGGAAAAGCACACATTCAACAGCTTAGAATATTTTAAATAAAGCCAGGGGGTGGGGAGGGAGCAGAAGTACTCCGAGAAACACGTTTTCCCCTACCTTCACTACTAGCGAGACTTGGAATCAGGCTGAGAAACTAAAGTTAGCCCTCTGTAAAGGAAGTTTTGACAACAGGGACCTAGTCAATTCACACAGTGGAGCCCAGAAAGCAATTCAACTGAAGTAGGTGCAACTGCCTGGTTGGCTGAATTGCTTTTTGGTCTTCATTCCCACTGGCTATAATGGGAGTTTAGGATGTCCAGCACATCTAGACACAACTCTATTTAGGCGTTTTATTCAGCAGCTGAACTTCCCTCTAAGCAACAGAAAGTTTTCTGTCATTATAGGCATGCCTTACTCTATTGATTTTTACCTGACTAGGATAAGGAAATTGTTGTCGTTTCTTTGCATTAGCAAAGGAGATCGGGAATTTTACAGGCCTAGAAAAAAAATAAATCTACCTACCAATGAAAAATTAAAAATTATGGGTATTTAAAAAATACCTATAGGTATTACTCAAGCAATCAAAGAAATGACCAAACCCCAGGAAAGGTTTTGTGCAATTACCTTGCCAACCAAGAACACTGCGTGCAAACTCCACAACCGCTAACTGCATTCCCAAACAAACTCCTGCAGAAGGAAAGGCAGAACACAGATCATGTCAGGATAAGGAGTACTGAGCACATATCACAAAGCACACACGCCTTCACAGAGCAGTCCTGAGTGAGAGGAAAACCTGGATAAGACAGACCTTTGACTTGGACTTAGGGGTCTGTTCACTCTGCATCAAGTAGTTCTGACAAGTTTTACTCCACCCCTCCCTTCCCCATCCACTCTGCTTACACAATTCCAGTTTCTCACCACGTCCATTTCATTTGAATGCAGTCACACATTTCCTCATGCCAAGATCACCACAGTCTCCTCTGAAACTTCCTCTGGGACTCCTATCCCCTCATTACAGAGATGTCATCACATCCCAGCCAACTCTGACCACTTCAGAGCTAACTACAGATGACAGCTATGTTATCCAGTTAAGCTGAGCATAGATCACTGCCTTCCTCAGCCAATTCTCTTCAAAATTGTACATTCCAGATACTAATGAAAATCAGCAAAGCTCTTGCTGCAGATCAGTTAGGCTGTTATTCAACCCCTTTCTTTTCTTTATTTCTTCTTATGGATGAAACATGTTTCTCACCTAAGAAGGGTTTTTTCTGTTTTCTTGCCCAGGAAATAGCTTGAATTTTGCCTTCTGTCCCTCGAACACCAAATCCACCAGGAACCAGAACTCCACTGCATGAGGATGAAAAGATTCCATTCACATAGGGCTCACCCACATGGTTCCCCCCAAACATGTATCACCTCTCTTCCATAAAGTCTCGGACTTGCAAGACCTCACTCCTGAAAAGGCCTTTTAAGTGCCCTAAGTGGCAAGGCTTGTCTGCAGCACAGTTTCCATATAACTTCACACGAGCCGTCACCCGTCACAAAGGGAAACCTTTTATAAAAGCACATTTTCCCTTCCCAAGAAATCCCAAATACCATGCAGGTTACAATACTAGAATGGTTCAAATTGCATGACCCGCATGCTCTGCACTAAATATGTTTGCAAACATATCACCCATCCAGGACCACGCTGAGGAAGCTGCTGGCTGCACTGGCAAGTTCTCCTGACCACAGGCACAGGGACGCCAAATTCTGCAGGAGTTTCTTCGTTCTCCTGGTACCACCCAAAGCCTCCTTCCCTGAGGGCTAACAAGCCCCACTTGTTCTGGTTTCCTGGGCTAACTCTTGGCACTCATGGAATCACGGAACTTTCAGAGTGTGAAGGGACCTCTAGAGATCATCTAGTCCAACTCCCCTGCTAAAGCAGGACTGCCCAGAGCACATCACTCAGGACTGCATCCAGGCGGGGCTTGAAAATCTCCAGAGAAGGGGACTCCACAACCTCCCTGGGCAGCCTGTGCCAGTGCTCTGTCACCCAAACCGTAAAGAAGTTTTTCCATGTATTTGAATGGAACTTCCTATGTTCCAACTTGTGCCCATTGCCCCTCGTCCTGTCACTGGGAACCACTGAAAAGAATCTGGCTCCATCCTCCTTCAACCCACCCTTTAGATATTTGTATTTATAAGGTCTCCCCTCAGCCTTCTCTTCTCCAGGCTGAAGAGTCGCAGCTCTCTCAGTCTTTCATCATAAGGGAGATGCTCCAACCCCTCAATCACCTTAGTTGCCCTATGCTGGACTCCAGTAGTTCCCTGTCTCTCTTGAACTGGGGAGCCCAGAACCGGACACAGTATTCCGGTTGTGGCCTCACCAGTGCCTAGTAGAGGGGGAGAATGACCTCCATCAACCTACTGGCCACGCTCGTCTGCATCCTAACAGAATCACAGAACGGTTAGGGTTGGAAGGGACCTCTGGAGATCATCTAGTCCAACCCCCCTGCCAGAGCAGGGTCACCTACAACAGGTTGCACAGGACAGCGTCCAGGCGGGTTTTGAATGTCTCCAGAGTGGGAGACTCCACCACCTCTCTGGGCAGCCTGTTCCAGTGCTCCACTACCCTCAAAGTAAAGAAGTTCCTTCTCATGTTAAGATGGAACTTCCTATGTTCAAGTTTATGCCCATTACCCCTCGTCCTATCACTGGGCACCACTGAAAAAAGACTGCTCCCATCCCCCTGGCATCCTCCCATTAAGTATTTGTAAGTATTAATAAGATCCCCCCTCGATCTTCTTTTCTCTAGACTAAAGAGACCCAAGTCCCTAAGCCTTTCTCCATAGGAGAGATGTTCCAATCCCCTAATCATCTTCGTTGCCCTTTGCTGGACCCTCTCCAGCAAAGGACAGTTCCCTGTCCTTCTTGAACTGGGGAGCCCAGAACTGGATGCAGTACTCCAGACGCGGCCTCACCAGGGCAGAGTAGAGGGGGAGGATGACCTCCCTCAACCTGCTGGCCACACTCTTCTTGATGCCCCCCAGGATGCCATTGGCCTTCTTGGCCGCCAGGGCACATTGCTGGCTCATGGGCATCCTGTTGTCCACCAGGACTCCCAGGTCCCTTTCCACAGAGCTGCTCTCCAGGAGGTCAGCCCCCAACCTGTACTGGTGCATGGGGTTATTCCTCCCCAGATGCAGTACCCTACGCTTACCCTTGTTGAATTTCATAAGGTTTCTCTCTGCCCAACTCTCCAGCCTGTCCAGGTCTCGCTGTATGGCAGCACAGCCTTCTGGCGTGTCAGCCACTCCTCCCAGTTTTGTGTCATCAGCAAACTTGCTGATGGTATACTCTATCCCTTCATCCAGATCATCAATGAATATGTTGAACAACACTTTTTTCCTTTCTCACACTTTCTTCCTAAAGAACTTTATGCCACATTTACCCCTTTCTCCTCCCTCTTTGGCTTTAATAGCCTTTTCCAGTACCTATCCTTTCCCCTTATTTCCTCTCATCCTGTTTACCCGCTAAGACTGTGAACATCCTCATCTGCATGACCACCCCCCCTACCGCTGCCTTTCACAAACTCCCTTGCTTATTTAACAGCTCATTGTTTTACATCTTATCCTAAATTTCATTGAGAGGTATTTGGAGCAATGTCAGCATGTGCCAGTACAGTGCATAAGAAAACAGTCTCCAGTGAGGCTCTTAATTCCAAAACTGTCAATAGCAGCAAGTTTATCAGACATGCTCCAAAGAAATGGACAGAGTACAAGAGTCTTACTCAGCACCACAGAGCTTCTGCCATGCTTCATGGTATCGGACAGGTTCTTCCTGCAGAGTATCTGGCTCCAAGTCAGCCGAGTCAATATACTGGGAAAAAATTAAAAAAAAAGTATGATGAGATACTGCCACAAGAGTGTGCAGGGTCTCCCTAATTCTCATTAAATGAAGATATAATTGCTCCTGAAGAGCTCTGGATTTGTTTCCTACTAGGTACTTGCTTATGTTTTTTCTGGGCCGATTTCCTGTCTGCTAGTCAGCAAAACTGCTTTCCCCCACCATCATACTACAGATGCACAAACAGAAGCCATGCACTTTTATCTCTCCCCCTGTCTGCAGCTCTGCTGTGACATACATGAAGTCCACAAGACTCAAACTCATTAAATGTGAAGTCTTAACGGAGCACAGTGAGATGGGAACACATGGCTATACAGACAGATACAACCACACAGCAAGAAAAAATTCAATCACTATCTCATCAAATATACAACATTTAATCTTCAAATGGGACTGAAGAACAAATACGATATGGTGAAACACAGGTTGTTGTAATTAAAGGATGTTATGACCAATGCTACCTACGGAAAAAACCTGCAAATTTTCCAGTTTCTCATCTCCAGTATTCCAGTATCTCTGAACTTCTGCATGTTCTGGCAGTTTGCTAACCCTTTTGAACAACCATTTTTGTCCTTTCCCCCTGCCCCCCAACCTTGGAATACTGCCAAACAGTTCTTTAAGGCAACCTAAGATCTCCACACACGGGGCTCACAGAACACATTCCCCTTCTGAACCATACAAATACATCTGTAGCAGGAACCACCCATACGTGCAGGGTTTACCCTTCACCAGTCTTACTTGTTTTTCTTTTCTCCTCCACTGATTTTATAAGACGAAATGTACCCAAACGTGGAACAGTGCTGTTATAAACCAAGCGCCTACTTCCATGACTCACTGGCATCATGAAACCACTGGACATTTAAAAAGTATATTTAAATGAAAGTAAAATTTCTGACATCAGAAATATGTATTTCACCTCTTCAGAGCATCTAGCTACAACCAAGACCCTTAACAGCACCTCTGCAGCCAAATCAGCATTAAAGCCTTAATAAAGCCTGAGGCAGAAGCACCATAAGACCTGCGAGTATCACAAGGATAACAACAACAAGCCTAAAAAAAGAACCATTTCCAACAACTATCAGAGAAATTAAAGCCAAGAGTGCCTTCTTCAAATATATCTACTGCTTCACCACTGTTCAGCATGCAACACTGAGCACTAAAGAGTTCCCATCAACTATACAGACACCTTGTATATCTTACAGGATGAAAGGCTGATTTGCTTTGAAGCTGGTTTATGCCTGACAACAGATGTTTTGATGCTGTAATCCCAGGACAATTTTGAAGTTCACTGGCTGACTCAACTCTCCCTTACAGTCTGCGGGTTTGTGAACCGTTAAGATGGGTAGCACTGTATGTGAGTATGGGGGGAATTTTTACACACACGCACCGCCCCACTCCCCCCCCCCACCTTAATGTCAAGTTTGTGGTTGATAGCCAGTGCTGAATGCTCCAGTGCTTTAATGACAGATGCGTAGGAATCTGAAAACTTGGTGTATTTGCCAACAAGCGCAATAGAACATGTTTCAAGGAGACGGTCATACCTAAACAAAATCAAAACACAAGGGTTATTTCATCATTAACAGGAAATTGGGGGCAAGAATCACTTACATTCTATTCAGCTTTTCAAGTAACATAAACAGTTGGGCTCTTGAAAGTCTGTCCAACTACAGAGATGATGACTTCGGAGGAGACCGCCTTTAATAATAAAGACTTAAAAACATCAAAGCAAGATTAGAAGAAAGAAAAAAAAAAAAATGACAGAGTTGCAGAAAGCCATATATAAATTAACTCATCTCTCCTTATGCAGAAAACTTCATTTTGAGTAGATCCAAACTGTCTTTTCAGGAAGCTGCATTAGATTCAAAGTTTGCAGTAAACTATTAGGAGAGAGGATCAAAGCACAACTCTGCATATGTTTATATTGTACAGCATCTTCCCACGCTGCTTTTGACCGAGTTCACTTCAGCAGTTAGAAATACAGAAAGGACTTCTGAAGTCCGATGGTTGTACTGCCACTTTCAGTCCCCAGTACCTGGCAGCATTCTTCGCTACAGCTAAGAGATTGTTTAAAGTTTATTTCAGAATTGCTAAGTACCTTCAACCAAGCTGGTTACTGAGGGCTTTCCCCATCAAAAGGAAATGTTACTGACAGTGGTGGCCTGTGTCAGGCATGTAAATAAAGGGAAACATCTAGATCTTGAAAATTAATTTCTTATAAGGACACATATTTAAGGCTTCAGAAAGGGCCTGAATGCCAACTGAAAAGACTCAGTTCGCAGTTTCCCCACGAACATGGGGTCTATTTCCCACAAGAAAAAAACCCCACTGTGCCCTAGAAGTCTCAGGCAGAAGAGTTACAAAACAGTTGTTTCACTTGCTTGAAAGCATATTCCAAAGACAGATTTTTATTGACACTCCTGATGACTGCTACATCTGCCTGCAAAAGAATTTCAACACTTTGTAATACCACTGGGTCTTTTTGCATAAAAATGGAGGGCAGAGCTGCCCACTTTTCAATTACTTCAAACTTGTTTTGACATAGACAGTACATTACCAACTCAAGATAAGGAACTCAGTAACATTATCTTACAGGATTCTCACACTGAAGAATTATTTTTTCAAACAGTTAAACATCTAGGAAGAAAATACATTTTCATATTAAAAAAAACAAAAAACAAAAAGAAGAAAAATTTGAGCACGTAAGAACACTTGAGGAAGTAACACTCGTCACCTAATAACCAATGACCAAGCGGAGAAACTAACCTGGAGTCTTAACTCAAAGTATGCCCAGCAGTGCAGCTCACCTGTCAGCCATTTCCTTCCACTTCATGAGCATCCTCCTGGGCTGCCTCTCAATGGGAAGGTCAAGCCTGTGTCTGAAGTAGTCAACAACTCCCTGCTCCTCTAACAACAGAGGAACCCGGTAGATAGAAGAGACATCATGAACACAGATGACCTGTTCATAAAATATGAATGTCATCAAAACAGATGTAAGTGCCTGTGCAATTATTTTTAGACAGATATTCAGAGAGCTTCTATCTCTAGCAGACAACCATACGATCACCTAAACTTCCAGGAAATGACATCCGTTGAGTAACATAACAACATATGAATAGCTTAATACTAGTTTCCATATACTGGGAAAGTGCATCCTTCAATGCTTCCCAGGTATTACTGCTCACTGGAGCTCCTTGGGAATGGCTATAATAAGATAACCTAGCATAGCAGCTGACTTTCTCACTGCAAGTTATGCGAGCGCATAGCAAGTTCAAAGAACACTTCAAAGAGACTTCTGTGATGAATCCTTTTTGGTAATCCTGATTGAAACTACAGCTCTACAGCTAAACTGCCCACAAGCCCAGCTTTCCCATTCCCACTGTTGTTCTTAACCAGGGCTCCCAGTTTGATTAAAGCCCAGGGAAATCTGTGATCTCAATACAGCAATAAATTTTACAGGGCATCCTTCATCAAACTTAGGATTAAACAACTGTGAGCAAAGAATTCTCAGGTCAATGAGGACTATCTACATCAATGGTTCTAGTTCACTGAAATGGGCTTCCACATAAAAGGAAAGATGGCTCTGGACAACTGTCACCTGTCTATCAAGAATGAGACTGTACTTTAAGGATCAAAAATATACTGGCACAACTATTTTTAAATCCTCGTTTCTCCTGACTCAAATAAAAGCAGAGTTCAACACTGCACCAGTAAAACCCCTTAGGCTGCAAATTTTTCTCCTTCGTAGCATTTACTTCTCAATTCAAGTGCAACTGCAGTCAGAGAAACAACTACGTAAAATTGCATTAAACTTCCTGGAAAGTGCCAACTTACTTTCAATTCCTGGCCAACAAGAGGTAGATATTGTGCTGCTGACACATCAATATTATTGCCAGCTAATTCTGAATGTAATACTCAAAACCGCAAGACTAATAAAAATGACTTGACAGAGCCTGGAATTATGAGGTGATACTCAGTCTTTCACAAAAAGACAGAATTTTTCAAGTTCCAGCTGGATTGGAAAGTGCTAATATTTAGCCTACAGCCACTTTGATGATTTCCCAAGGTCTACCTCAGACTATGCTATGCAGAGTAGTCTCAGTATAAAAAGAATCATGCTAACATGGAATTTTTGCATATCGCATAACATTCAAGTGAAGCAATGCTTCTCTCAAATACCATTTCAACTTTTCTGTGCAATCCCTCCTCATGTGATCTTGGGCAGAAGAATAAATTATGAAAAAAAAGCTGTGTACAAAATGCGTTCATGTATCCTTTAAACCTAATTTTAGGCAACTGCTCTTTGGCCTTTAAATACTGAAAAATCTCATTCTTCTGTATGCACAGAAGGAATGCGGAAGGATAACTAAGGTCAAAAACAGCGATTCAAAAAATACTTTGGATTCCAGAGATTTCTCTAAGCCTACTCGAACTACCTTACAAGAAAACCTGGCTGCTGGCATAAAAAGGACTATTTTTGTAATGGTTGCATGGGTAAGGAATGTAGGTAAGACAAAGCAGCAAATGAATTATGCAGCTAACAAGACACAGCTAGAACACAAAACGCTATGCTCAGATAAAACTCCACTCAGCATTTGACAAACAGCTAGAATATTTATTGCAGGAAGTGCAGACAGCAATCTTTACCTGTTCTGGTTCAACATGACAGAACATGGAAATCTTTTCTTTTACTGAGGTATCCAATGGAGTGGAGCACCTGCAAACAATCTAAAATAACAGCAACATCAAGGTTGTGAAGCAAAACAGAAGTACTCAGGCATTCATATAATAAACCTCTAAAAAAGCTGTCTTTCTGCAGTCTCCATGACTTAGGGAAAAAACCTAACTCTGGTACTTTTACTTGTTTCTTACCAATATGCAAGAGCTCTCAAAATAAGCATTATTTAGACTAGGATGTTGTTGCAACGTCCCAGTACTGCATTTTTAAATTCAAAGCCATGCGCAGCAAACCTTACCAAATCTGGTGAGAGACCAAGACCTCTGAGTTCACGAACACTGTTCTGGGTGGGTTTAGTCTTCTGCTCTCCTGTAGAGCTTGGCTGGTCAGAGAAGAACAGAGGTTGGTGTATCACATTATGATGATACATAGCAGTGATTCATTAGGCTAATCAGGACTCTCCACCCTATTCATCTTGTAAAAACTTTGACAATTCACATGAACTTTAAATACCCCTGTACACTGTAATTTTAATTTCAAAGACTGAAAGCAACCAGCAGAAATCAGAGTTCAAGTCCGTACAGTAAGTAGTTACGTATTACAGTGAGGGAGAGAGCAGAGATCCTAAGGTTTTTATCCACTGCTCCCCCCAGATACCTAATATGTTGTATTTCTAATTTTTTCCTGGCCTAGACAGAAGGGGAAAGAAAGAAAAAAAGAGAAGAGAGCAAAGATTGATCTGCACTCCAGTAACTCTACCAAGTTGCTCTGTCAAACCCATTTCCGAGACAAGGAATACTCATGCTCCCTAATACTGTTAACATAACAATGGAAGAATTTTCTTCAGCAATGACTCCTGCAGTAGAGGCTTTTCTGGCGTGAAGGATGTAAACTGTCTTCAAAACCAGAGCAGATAATACAGATGAGGCTACATCAGGCATTATATGGCATAAAATACCTTCATATGCTTTTGGTATTAACCTAAGTTCACCTCATCCACTTGGCACATAAGGATATTTTGTTTTTCTTTTGTGATTCCTAATTAACTAATTCTTATCATAGCACTGCTTCATAATACCTTTTCTTAGTTGTATCTCTGAACTAAGGGCAACCATCACTCAGACTGTTATGGCTTACATAGCAATCAGATGTGAGAGCCTATGAAATTACTGTTAAAGATCAAAACACACATTAAAATATTGACTATGGGGAAAAAAAACAGATTATGTTTCAAAACACAGTATTATGTCTTGAAATTACAAAAGTAACCCAACCTACTTCATGACCTACAGCTAATGTAAATCTTGGGGGGGCTGGGGAGGGCACACAGCAACAGAAATATTAAAGAACTCCAGGAAGAGCTTGGAATATGATCTTATTAGTAAGTCTAAATGGCTGTGAAGTCTGGCTACATCACTGAATTTTTTTATTAGCTTTGCAGAAATGAAAGGCTATGCAAATTAAGGGAAACTGAAAGTTTTCAGCCCTAGAAAGCAACTTTACCTGCCAAAGCTAGGAGACAATACCATAAAGAATCATAGAATCATGGAATGGTTGAGGTTGGAAATGACCTTAAAGACCATTTAGTTCCAACCCCCCTGCCCTGCGCAGAGACACCTCCCCCCAGACCAAGTTGCTCCAAGTCCCATCCAACCTGGCCTTGAACACCTCCAGGGATGGGGCAGCCACAGCTTCTCGGGGCAACCTGCGCCAGGGGCTCACCACCTTCACAGTAAGGAATTTCTTCCTAATATCTCATCTAAACCTCCCCTCTTCCAGTTTAAAGCCATTCCTCCTCGTCCTATCACTACATGCTCTTGTAAAAAGTCCCTCCCCAGCTTTCTTGTAGGCAGTCTTCACATACTGGAAAGCTGCTATAAGGTCTCCCCAGAGCCTTCTCTTCTCAAGGCTGAACAGCCCCAACTCTTCTCCAGGCTGAACAGCCTGCCCTCACAGCAGAGGGGCTCCAGCCCTTGGAGCATCTTCATGGCCTCATCTGAACCTGCTCCAACAGGCCCATGTCCTTCTTATGTTGAGGGCTCCAGAGCTGGATGCAATATTCCAGGTGTGGTCTCCCCAGAGCAGAGCAGAGGGGCAGAATCCTCTCCCTCGCCCTGCTGGCCACACTTCTTTTGATGCAGCCCAGGATGCAGGCAGCTTTCTGTGCTGCGAGAGCACATCGCCAGTTCATGCTGAGCTTCCCATCCACCAACACCCCCAAGTCCTTCTCCTCGGGGCTGCTCTCAACCCATTCTCTGCCCAGCCTGGATTTGTGCCTGGGATTGCCCTGTCCCATGCAACAGCAGTTAAAGATGCAAAACTGCATTTGCTGCAACTCCCAACTATTTATTACACATTTACACACTTTGAAAAGTTTCTGTTCACTTCTTGCGAACCTTTTTTGACTATGTAACCATATATACTCTGCATTGCTTCCAGAAGTTTCTATACATAGAAATACAAATATAACAGTCCCTATAGATACAGCATTTCAGAAAAATATTTAGAAATCAAGTTTTGGTTTGGGGAAGCCCCTGACCACCACAACATTTTAGGTCCTTACCTGGGGAACTAGACTGACATGAATGTTACAAAAATTCTCTCTTTTGGCTTTGAACTGGAACTGGCGGAAGGCTTCTATGAAAGGCATGCTTTCAATATCGCCTACCGTCCCACCAAGCTAAAAAAGACATGTAGAATTAAAGTTAGTACAAAAACTTCATCTACTGAATTCGTACGCTAAAGCATACTAAAACATACATAAAAGGACACTAAAACATCTCCCCAGCACCTCCCTCCGATTCCCTAAAGAATCATCAACGAAGATGAAAAGCAGGATTTACCTGCTTGTACTACTTCCACAGCCTCCAATCTACCCCAACTATTACTACCTTCGTGATTTCCCCAAAAATCAAAAAGCCACAAGAAAAACAGCTCCTCATACGGACAACACCTCTCCAGGAACATTAGCTTTGTCTCTATTCAGGGAGAAAAGTTAGGTGTTAAAATTATCATTTATAAACATTAGGGGGCACTGAGAAGCAAAATTTCTGTTAAGTTTTAGTAACTATATAGAGCGGTTTTGGACACATGCTGGAACAGAGACACAAGGCATTCTTTGGAACACTGACAAACTCCCATGCGTTGTCAGATAGTGCCTCCTAGGTACTGCAGGATCCAGGCTTGTGAATCCTGGAACAGAAATTGGCACTCAAGCTGCAGCAAGAGTCCTAAGTCACCATGACCTGGGCACTCTGACAAGCTCCCTCTCGCCTGTATTAGCATACCCTGCCAGCCAGCTCAGCAGCACCAGCTCGGAGCCTTTGCCCTACTCTGTCTCCTTTGGCAGCACGACATCCCATACAACGCACAGGAAACCGAACAGGGTTTATCACCACTAACTTGTGCCATTCAGTTTTCTAGGTCTATGCTTGAACCAGTCACTCCAAGGGTCCCTTTACTGCTAAGGAGGAAAGTCAGCTGCTTCCAGAGGGTGATTTACCCACCTACCTCTACCCACCAAGGAAGAAGAGGGCACAGCATGATTCACTCAGACTTTCGCATATAAACTTACAAGAGCAAAAATTCATTCTATAGACCAATTCACATTACACTAGAGAGCAAAGTGTCTAAAAAGTATAACTATCTAAAACCTGAGTCTTTCTACATGTGGATTCACAGAACATTCAAAAGATTAGACTGAATAAGTGAGGCTAGTAAGGGGGATTTTTAACGAACTCAACATCATGCTAAGTTGAACATTACTGTAAGAAAATGTTACAATGCAAAATACGCATATAGTTCAGTTTACTCCACACTAGACACAAAACCACTTTTTTTTTTTTTTTTTTTTTTTTTTTTTTTTTTAAGAGCTACAGACCTCAATCACACAAACTTGGGGTTCAATGCCATCTTCATCTACAGGAATGCGTGCCTGCCTCATTACCCATTCTTGTATAGCATCTGTGATGTGGGGAACAACTGAAAAAGAAACCCAGGCAAGGGTTAAAGCCACAACCCATGCACATATCTCCCTCTAACTCATTACAGATCAAATTATTGAAAATAACTAGCCAGAGCTTCCCATGTGACTTCTGATTTCTGTCTTAAAAGAAATATGCATTTTTGAAGTGATTATTCTTGGCTGTGATTTTCAAGAGAAGTGCCTTGGCAGGAAATGTAATCCTGTCTCAATTTAAACACATGTAAGAGACGTTTCCTCTAAGCTGGAAGATTCAAGTACAAACAGTTCTTTGCTTTAAGCAGAGAGAGTTACTCTGTTTTAAACCATCTGTACAAGTCCTTATCCAAACCAGCTGTGGAGGAGGATTAAAAAGGGAAGGGACTGATCTGATCCTCAAAGATCCTTTGAGTTTTCTAATGACATGACAGTTATCAAACGCAATAATCATTTTAACCAGCTAGCAAATAATCCACCGGAGTATTAGTCTGAAGTCTGTTCTCATCGAGCACTGGCTACATTAGACAGTTGGACCCAAGTCCAGCATACAGTCCAAACAATCGGCAGTATATCACTGAGTACTGGAAAGCTTTGAGGGGCTTACAGGTAACCCAATTCAGTATGGCACGCACCACTACACCTGAACTGGTGCGACTTCTACTTCCCTTTTAAAAAACAAACAAAAAACATCACAAGAACAGCATATAACAAAGACCTCAAGTTAAGATAAAATGCAAAAGCATCCAACCAGGACAGAAATACAGAATATATTTCTAAGCATCAGGAATTAAACTTCACGTCACCTTGGACAGTTTTGCCAAGATAGTCTCCCTTCCTCTCCTTGTTGATGACATACTGGTAGATCTTCCCAGTAGTCAGATTGTTGTCTTTGGTGAGTCGGATATCGAGGAAGCGCTCATAGTTACCAAGGTCCAGGTCCACTTCCCCTCCATCATCTAGCACAAACACCTCCCCTGCAGCACACAGAAAACGGCACAAGTGCATGTCAAGGGGAAATGGTGCACATCAGCAATTTGTTGGTTTTGCCTGTGACAGCTAGAAGAATTCAATGTAAGGAAACACCTTCTCTGATTGCTACAGCAAGCTTAGGAGTGGCTAATAAAACGAAAAGCCTTGTATAACAAAGAGGACTCCTACATTGAGGACTGAATCCCTCAACCAGGCAGCAGTGACAGAAGACCTGAAAACACATCTCTGCTGTTTGCTGGCGGCACAGTTGGCCCCAGAGCCGTGGACAGGCTCCACGTGCAGATGCCACACACAGGACCCGACCCAAACTCTTCCACCATGCGAAGGAGATAGTTCCTCCCAGGCAAAGCCAGCGCCAGCACCCACCTGGAAGCCCCCAGCACCCAGCTCAGGGCCGGCCACACTCCAGCAGCGCATCCCCGAGGGGCCGCTCACCGTGCTCGTACGGGGAGAAGGTGCCAGCGTCGATGTTGATGTAGGGGTCGATCTTGATGGAGGTGACATGCAGCCCGCAGGACTTGAGGATGGTGCCGATGCTGCTGGCGATGATCCCCTTGCCGATGCCCGAGATCCCCCCGCCGGTGACCAGGATATACT